TTCTTTTTCTTATGTATTGGATGGATCCCTTAAGCTCGAGGTGGTATATAGAACAGACCCACCGCACCCCTTTTAGCCTAACAACAACCCTGCGGGGTAGGCTGGGTTGAGAAATCAGGATTGATCCCTTGGCGGCGGAGAGTAACTTAGACTTCCTCTGTCCTTGGCCCAGATGTTCACTGCCCTTTGGAGCACCCCGTTTCTCTGATCGGAGGACACAGGTTTGCAACGCGCCCCGAAATATCCTCATGGCTGCTTTTCCAACCCGTGGCTTCTTTTTCCCCGCCGGCAGGCTCGCTAACATTCCAGTCTTTGCTCCTCTGATCCAAAGCCGCCCTCCCGAATTTGATACGCTGCATTAAAAAGCGAAAATCAGAAATAGAAACACGCAAAGAGAGTCATGGCTCCTGCGGGTTGTGCCGTCCGGCCTTAATCATCACGCCTTTGGGGCGAGTTTATTGAAATAAATACGCCTGTTAGCGCGGCTCGGTTGCCACGCCGAGCGAGGAGGGAGATGTTAGATTTTGGTGACGCAAAGTTGCATTTCGATGTTCTCGGATCCCGGACGGCGAAGGTGGACCAGGGCCTTTTATTAAGCGGTGCATAGCTGATGGGGTGATGACTATTATTATGGTCTGCAATGCATTAGGAAAAAAATGTGATTTGATGAACCAGCTTCTCCTGGGCTAAGAAGGGATCCCGTGCCCGCCTTATCGGGTACCGTTTGAGCAGATTAATCGGCTGATTGGAAAATGGGTGCGAGCCCGCCATAAATTCCAGATGTTAAGTATGGCTGGTATCCAGCCCTTGTATCCCTCAATGTGGTGGTTAGCTGAGTTAGGACCGCTCAACCAAGCCCAAGCCCCTTATCCGCCATCCTTCTGGGTCGCACCGCTGGGCCACCGAGCTACAAATCCTTTTTTAATGAAACTTCTGCCCAACCGTTGCGAGGGCCGGGGAGGCGTTGCTGCTTTTCCCGATGGCTGGCTTTTTAATTTTGTGGGGCTGGGGGGCCCAACTTGGACGTCTGACCTTCTGCCCACTGTCCTTGCTATCTCTCTTCCCAACAGCTGTTCCTCTGTCGGAGAGTCCCGGACAGTGTTTGAAGCTACGAGTTTTTGTCTGCTGCAAAGCCGCCACCAGTAAGTCGGTCTGCCCGTCCTGCTGAGGGGGGTCCGTGATCGGGGGTCCGTGATTGGGGGTCCGTGAAAAAATAAATTCCTCAAAAGATCCAGATCTGATCCTCGGCGTGGCTGAGAACTTGGGGGAAACCCCGTATCCGAAATGATGGAGAGGCTAAGCGTGCTTAATTGGGCACCTTCCAGATCCGTTGGACTACAGCTTCCATAAATGGCCTGGCTGCCTGGGGATGGTGGGAGTTGTGATCCAAATACCCCTGGTGGGGTTGCTAGATTGGTGAGGATAGGCTGTATTCAGTGAGTTGGACTAAGGATCTGGCTGATACACGTTCGGAATGTAAGGCCTCCCTCAACACCATGAGGACTAGAGCCCTTTTTTTGTTTTAAATTAGTCCTGGCTCAGGGTCAGAGTTTGAGATGCAGCTCTACTTAGCAGGGCTGGGCACAATGTCAACTGCCAGTCTCGAATGTTTGAGCAAGCACTGAAAGGGACAAGAATAAATGAAGAAGGCAAGCAAAATAAGCACGCGAGCCGAGTTGAAAGTGGGTTCGAATCCAGCCTGAAATGATACAGTGATTTATAACCAGGGTATCCACATCGTGGCTGCATTGGGGCTGTGTCCACACTAAGTGTTCATCTTGGTGTGGCTTTCATGAAGGTCCTTAGGGTATTCTGGAAACTGCACCAGTTTTGTTACTTTAGAGCAATGTTTCTCAACCTTGGGAACTTTAAGATGGGTGGATTTCAACTTCCAGAATTCCCCAGCCAGCTGGGCTGGCTGGGGAATTCTGGGAGTTGAAGTCCACCCATCTTAAAGTTCCCAAGGTTGAGAAACACTGCTTCAGAGGGCAATCTGTTGTGCAAAGCCAGAGAAATATTTGTTACCTTCATTCAAGGGGGACGCACATGAAGGGGGTTGTGTGAATACAATTAAAGTTCAGCAAATCTTATTTAATAGGCTCTTTTTGGAGTGGGTACCGGATTTCCAGCTTCTGAACATCCATTAAATACCGAAAGAGATCTTTGCAGCGATTTCCATCTTGCCAGTGAGGTTTTTTAGATTATTTGAAACGTCGTAAAATGAACCTAAGTGGAACTCCCTTGCCTGGATGACTTCAGATGCGATGGACGTGTTTTATTTTGGGCAAAACGTTTGTCTCTATCCTCCAGAATCAAACAGAGGCCTGTAAACATGAAGCTTGATGTGCAGTTTTTGAGGCTGTGCGTGGGGGAAGAGGAAAGGGGACCACTCTGTGCTTTCTGCCTTATCCCTCTTTCCTTTCTAGCCACAGACCCTGTGACAGAGGCACCCAAATCTCAGCCACGCGGGAGAGGCGGTCCAGAGAGTGAGTTTGGGGAATATGGGTGTTTTAGATCAAGGAAAACAAAAATAGCATATTAAAGAGTAATGGGCAAATCCTTAATGAATTAAAAAAAAAAGTCTAATCTGGAAGTCTGTGAGTCCCAATCGAAAGAAGCAGGGTGCATTTCATAAAAGGTCTGCTTGTGTGTATAGGTGTGAATGCTCTGTAACTGGGCTCTGGTAGCTTAGTAGAACCTCCCTGCCTAGGTGCAGTCTACCTTGCTGCTCAGCCCAGCCACAAAGGAGGATGGTTTTCTGGTCTGTGCGCTTTACCATCCTCTTGGGGAGGCCTGCAAACGACCCATCTCTTGCCAGTCGGTGCCAGACACCCAGGTGTGCAACTTCCATCCTCCAAGCATCTGTTCAAGTTTCATCTTGCGCGATCGTCTCTATGGATTTTCCGGTCGCCTCTGGCGATCGGGCTGACGTTTTTTAGGAGCGTGGCGGGATTCGTGGCTTCGTCTGCCGAAACGCTCCACGAGTACAGATTCGGACTGGGATTGCCATGGGATGAACCCCTGCCCGGTTTCTAGGCGTGCCTCCCGTTCCAATCCCGGTGTGCGTTGGCCCTGTGCGAGGGGTGCTTGTCTCGTTGAGCGGGGAATGAATGCCGAGGGATGGGGGGCACCCCAAAACTTTCAGGAAATGTTGCAAAAATGATTCGGAAAGATCTAGGGGGAAATGGGGAAGTAACTCCAGTTTTCGTGCGGGTGAACCCCAGCATTCTCAGCACTCAGTTTCCTTCCTTTTTTTTCCCCCTTCGGCCCCAAGAAGCCGTGGTCGTCCGTGGACACGGTTCTGCCCCGATGCAGCTCGGCGTGGCCTGCCTGGCACTCGTGGTGCTACCCTTCCTGTGGCTCTGACCGCGGGGAATCCGGATTACGAGCTCCCCTGAGACTCAGGGCGGGCAGAGAGCGCTGGCAGAGTGATTCCTCCACCCCACTGCTATCCCCGTGGCAAAGATGCTGATTCACCACTTGGCACTTTAGACCTGGCCGGGGACCCCCCTCCGATTCTCCTTCCACCCCAAAGCTGCTTCTTGGACAGCGTTCCCGGCTGCCGAAGGACCAGGATGTGCCTCTTCAATCCGGGACGCTCATCCCTGCTCCCGTTCAGACTCCGGAGGACCTTCAGTGGGAGCGTAAGTCTTGGGAAAGAGGGAGGGAGGGCTCCTTGGAGGTCATTTAGTCCAGCCCCCAAGTTGGAGGTCCAACCAGCCTCCCTGGCTGATGTTGCTTTCCTACCACCCAGCAAACCCCTTTGAGAGTCTGTTCGCTAGCAAGGCGTTCCCACCCGTCTTTAGCCAGAATCAAACTCTGATTTAAGGGAGCTCTGCTCACCAAACTGGCACGGGACGACCAGAGACTCCCCTCTCCTTGGTTGGCATTAGCTCTAAGTCGAGCTTCCTTAAACACCGTCGCCTTCCATTAAAACAAAACTAGTCCCCACGTTTTGAGTCTCTCCTCTCCCCCTCGTTTGGCAGAGCTGCTTTGACAGCGTTGCCGGAAAAAGCAGAATGTAAATAAGTTTTTTAAAAAAGTACAAAACCCTAAATTAAACATAGAGGGGAGCCGATCGCATCTGCGTGCCCTCCTTCCACCCAGAGCCAGATGCTAGACAAGGCAGAGCTCTGATCCGTCTGCCCCCTTTTTCCTCTTTTCTATTTAGGCTGCAAGGATAAAAAGGATGACTTTGCTGTTTAAGTGAAGAAAAGATTTCACCATTTTTTTTTTTTCCAACGGAGAGTCTAAATTCTCCCAAAAAAGAAAAATCCAGCCAGCTAGCCACGCCCACTGACAGAGGACTCCATTCTGTTCCCTCAACTAATCTGTTGGGATCTTATGGATCCAGAACACACCCCGATCACATAGGGCCGTTTTGGAGATCTCTCTAAGCCGCTTCACGTTATTACAGGGAGACCTCGCTTAGTGACGGTCATTGGGACCGGCAACTGTCACTAACCGGCGCGATCGTAAAGCACGACGCCACGTCACCACGCCGACTTAAGATGGCGGTTCTGGCACTTTGGGTCGCTGGTATTAAGTGAATCCCGCGTGGTCATTAAGTGCGATGTCACGTGGTCGCCATTTGCAAGCTCCTGCCGGCTTCCCCATTGACTTTGCTTGTAGGAAGCCGGCAAAAAAGGTTGCAAATGGTGATCACGTGACCGTGGGACGCTGCGACTGTCATAATTGTACGCTGGACGCCAAACGCCCAAATCATGATTGCGTGACTGCAGGGACAACCAGAACCTTAAGGACTAGTTGTAAGTCCCCCTCGTTTAGCACCGTCGTAACTTTGAACCGTCGCTGAACGAGTGGTCATTAAGCGAGGACTACCTGTAATGTATGGGACTAATGGGCCGCCCAAAGACCAGCCCTAACCTCTGGAGCTGAGAAATAAAAGGCACAATAATCATAATAAAAAAAAAAGAACTTGGAGCTAATCACAAAACGGCCACAGTTGTCCGTTTGCTATCAAAGGCCACCGAAGTTGGAAGGGAGAAGGCAGAAAATTACAGAACAAATTGGGTAATCTGTCGAGGCCGAGCCGAAATCAAATAACAGACCCGTGAAAATGTCAGAAGTCAATATGAAGAAATGGAAGGAAGGGGGACCAGCGGTGTCAGCAAAGGGCGATGCTGAAAACAACAGCCCTGAGAATTGGGCAGAGAATATCTATACATATTAAGAATGCGGAGAAAATTCATTTGGGTCACTGCAAGTCTGTTCACTTCGTCCCCTGGTTTTCGAGGCAAACATAAATTCATTTCTCCACTGCTTGCCTGCCTTTTTTTTTTATTCCAGATCTGGCACTGCGAGCTCGCCTCTTCGAAACCAGGGGCGAAAATCGGTTGGAGGGTTGTGTGTGCAACTGGAAGGGGAGGCCTGGCCCCCCAAAGATGTCTGTTAAAAAGGGCACCAAAAATTGCCTCTCTCGGGAGGCACGCACACGGATTTGCAAACGATCTTTTTGAGGGAAGGGAGCGAAGGCGTAAAGCGGGACCCAGGAATGGGAGGGCACGGAAATTGGGGAGGTGGGAAGAGGAGAGCGATTCGGCGCGGACCCGCGTTGGAGAGATTTGCTCATCGTTGCAGAAGAATTGAGCGCGGAGTGCAAATCCTCGTGTTGAAGGTGACGGAGTGGCAGAATCGTGGAACAATCGCTAAGGTGCCCCGGCTAAAAACTGGAAAGGCCGTGGGGAAGAACAGGACAGCTGAACAGGGTCGATCGCTGTTGGGTCTTCGTGTCTCTCAACCTTGGGGACTTTAAGAGGAGTGGACTTCAACTCCCAGAATTCCCCAGCCAGCCAGGCTGGCT